TAACAGGACAGGTGGGGTCAGCATCGATTTCGGGTCGCAGGAGTGGGATATACTCTGTGGTTGCGGACCCCGTAATCTTGTACAGTAGAGGGTTTTTCATCTTGGTTGATCGCGGACGCTGCCTTTAATTCACGAATTAAGGTATATGCATGTGACGTTGAGAGTTCTGCAATACAAAGCGCTAGGAGATGCAGTGGTGACCAGTCGCAGCTAAGGTCACGCCCAAGTCTAGAGGAGAACATAATGACGACTAACAACTTGAACCTTGACGTCGAAAGTGTCGCGGAAATGGTTGATAAGCTTGATTTTGTAGTGCGAAAAGGGAGCTTGAACTGGCCATAAAAGTGAATTTCAGGCAATGAGCACCTGGTGGAGTCAGCTGGCCAGCAACGGAGTAGATGAGCCGGATATGCGATTCACATCTGCGCTTCGTTTTCGTTCCACTAACCCCATCTTGTCCTTTTCGAGGGTAGGTTGTTCACAGCCGCATCCTTGCTAGCAATTGCCTTTGCATCGACCCTTCCTTGTTAGCGATCTAGGCCGAATTCTTTTCAAAGGATTGGGATAAGTGGCCCAACCTTTGAATGAACTGCTAAATTTGACTGAAAGCAACGTTAGGTCATTTAGTGAACGGTTAGGAAGCAAACCGCGTCTCGGCCATGTAGCCTGTTCCTAATGGTAAGAGAAAAGGGCAGAACGTATCGACCACGTCCTGATCTTGATTTTTTTCAAAATTCGATCTCCTCTCAAACTTCCTCCTCTGATAACCTCCCCTCCTTCATGCTCCCTGCCACCCATCTAGGTTTTCGTGACTTCTACCACTTCTACTTTCCTCAGTTTTCTGGGAAATCTTCCAGTATTTTTCTTCAAAAAAGTGCACCCGAGTGCGGAGGAGAGAGCGGGGGTAGGAAGCCACCGAACAACTACTGATTTCGACTGACTGGGACCCAACAAAGAGGAAGCGGGAAAAGAGGGCAGGACGGACCTCGGACGTGGCCTCAATGATTGCCGCCTCCAGTTCACTTTCTGTCACACAACCTATCGTTTACTGGGATTACGGACTCTATTCGTAGCTCTACTGCCAACACATCAGCGAAAAAATTTATCGTTGGAATACGAAGTTTCCACAATTTGCTTCTTGTAGCCAATCAACCAAAGAAATGGGGCAACGGCTGCGGGGGTGGTGTCGGACGACAAAGCAAAGGACCACAATATTCCCATGGGTACGCATAGACGAACATGGTGCACAGCTGAAAAATCACTGAAGTAACGAGAATGTGTACAAGTCACGTCAGTGTAGCATATATATAAGAATTTTGCCTAGATAACGTACCCTTGTGGTGGAGTGCGACTTGGAGTCCGCCACAGCAAGGAAAGCAGCGAATCCGTAATGATACACAGAAACAGCCTCCATTTGAAGACAGAGGGTGCGCTGACTTGAGCGTTCGCGGCAGTTTTAGTTTAATTGGTGGAGCTTTGAGTCACACCACTAGCGCTCTGAACGTGTGCGCACACGCTCTTCTACCCAACGATGGAAAAATTCAATCCTCATATTTCATTCAAGTCCTAGCCGCCTGTTACACTTACAATTCCTTGATTTCAGTCAGGGGAATGGAACTACTACATGACATTGGCGGTAACGGGTTTAGTTGAGGTGTTTGGTAATTTGACTCTTAACGTTTTGTTGATATGATTCTCTTTCCAATCTCAGTGCTCAAAAGCATAGATGATTTTAGAAAGTAAAGGTACGCTGTGATTCTTTCCACGTTGGACTAATAAGCAAGATTG